TTTTCAAGCCATCTATTTGTGGTATTTCTGTTAGAGTGGTACAAGATGACCAAAATAAGGTATAATCCATACTGAAGACTGTCATCTTTGATCTTCATCAGTAAGTGCTTCAAGTCCTCTTCTCTTTCAGCAAGTAAGACTGTGTCATCTGCATATCTCAGGTTGTTAGTGAATTTTCCTCCAATCCTGATGCTGTGTTTGTTTTCATATAGTCTAGCTTCTCAGATTATTTTCTCAGCATAAGATTGAATAAGTATAGTAAAAGAATACAACCCTGATGCACAACTTTCCTGATTTTAAACCATGCAGTATGCCCTTGTTCTTTTCAAACAACTGCCCCTTAGTCTAAGTACAGGTTCCTCATGAGAACTATGAAGTATTCTGGAATTCCCATTCATTGCAATGTTATCCACATAGTCAAATGCCTCTGCATAATCAGTAAAACACAAACATCAAACTTAATGGACTCAAATCCCGAATCTAATGCTGGCTATTACCATAAGCAAACCACTCTTAACCTCTCTGAACCCCTGTTTCTCCATCTCAGGTAATGTGTCTAACTTGCATAGTAAGCACTCACAATTATTAGTTTTTTCTGCCCTTTATCACTGATTCCTTATTGGGCTCCTGCTGACAGTTCTAGGGCTTCTTTTTTGTATAAAAATTTTAAAAATGACATTTGATATGTACAAAAAAATATACATGATAAGTCTATGTGTATATGTTATAAACCATGATTTGAAAACAAAAACTCAATTTAAATCAGTCTTTTAAAATGAGACCATTTCAGTACCATTGAAGCTGTCTGTGTACTTGTCCACAATCCTGCACCTGTGTTGTTCCAGAATTTTGAACCTTTCTATTTGCTCAGTCCCACCCCAGTCTGACTGGGTAGATGAATATGTCTGCTCTATAGTGATAATGCAAGGCAAGGCACTGCCGTGGAGTCAGATCTGACTCATAGCGTCCCCTCCTTGGGTTTCTGAGGCCATATCACTACGGAAGTAGATCACCCAATCTTCCTTCCGAGGAGTGGCTGGTGGGTTTGAACCACCAGCCTTCTGGTTAGCGGTCACATGCCTTAGGCACTATGCCATACTGCCTCGGAAACCCAAGGAGGTGTCGCTATGAGTCAGATCTGACTCCACGGCAATGAGTTTGGTTTTTTTGGTAGACCAGAAGAAACACTCAGGAAAATAAGGAAATCACAAGACTTCCTAGCCTTGGGGAGATAATGAGTACAGATTGGGCCTGTCAGGTTTGAATGCAAATCCCCTGCGGGCAACTGAAACTGCCAGTGGAACTCCTGAGAGTCTAGGGCTTAAAGACAGAGATTTGGGCATCTCTCAGAAGTGATAGTTGGAGCTGTGGAAGTGATGAAGACTCAAGGGAGAAGACTGAACCTTGGGCAGTAGAGGAGGAAGGGGCTGTAGGATTGGGTGTGTAAGGGCAATAGAAGGAGGTGAAGCTGGAATGGGCTCCAGACCAGGTCATGACCAGCCTTCTGTTCCACAGTGAGGAATTTGGAACCTTCCTTTGGGAGCTCTGGTGGCATAGTGCCTAAGGCATTTGACTGCTAACCAAAAGGCTGATGGTTCAAATCTACCAACCACTCCTCGGAAGGAAGGTTGGGCAGTCTACTTCCGTAGTGATACCACCTCGGAAACTCAAGGAGGAGTCACTATGAGTCGGTCCGACTCCACTGGCAGTGAGTTTGTTTGTTTTTCTGTTTATGGACAATGGGAAGCCACTGAAAACTTTCAAACTGAGAAGTGACACAGATTTGTGTTTCAGAGAGATAGCACATTATTGGTGTTCAATTATTTTTAAATGAAGGCATTCATGGTTTTAAGGATTATTAGAGTGGGAGAAAAAATGGAGGTAGGAAGAGTAGTTATGAGGCTACTGCAGTAATCCTGGTGGGAGGAGATGGTGTCCCAAACCACAGCAATGGCATGGGACAAAGAGTAACGGAGCAGTATTAGGTTATTTAGAAAGGAGATGTATTTATTAGATAAGGAAGATGAGGAAGAATGAAGAATCTAGGATGGCCATCTTGTTTCTGGTTGAGTGTTGGCAGTGTGTTCACTGTGATAGAGAATAAATGAAGAGGAGTGCTTTTTTTTTTTTTTAACTTTTTATTGTGATTTGGGTGAAAGTTTACAAAGCAAATTGGTTTTCCATTCAACAATTCATACACATTTTATTTTGTAACATTGATTGCAATCTCCACAATGTAACAGTGCTCTTCCCACTTCCTCCCTGTGGTTACCTTTTCCATTGTCCTTCTCTCCTATCCTTTCCTGCTTTCTGAGCTTTATCTCTGGGCAATTGCTGCCCTTTTGATCTTGTATAGGTGATTGTTCTAAGGAGTGCCCCTCCCTAGTATTATCAGCACTTTTTTGAGCAAGATAGTATGTTCTACTCAGAATATACTGAGTTTGAAATGAACATCCAAGTGGGCTGGAGAAGTTGACACATGGGTGGTAACTAAGGGCAAATGCTTGGATAACATTTTTTTTTTTGAAAATAAAAAGTGCACTATAAACTCGAGAATGCATGTGTGAGTCATGCACGAGTTATTACAGTTTCTTTGGTTTCTCATGTGTGGTGGTCTCATGTTTATTTCAGAGCTCCCCCCCAGAGTCTCCAAATCCTTCTTTAGCTCAGACTGTCAAGACTGTGTCCTCCCTTAGGGAGCTCTTAGATATCTTGTTTCTAATATGTTTATATACCAACCTAGCTCAGAGCATTTTACCAATCCCTTCATCCCCACTGCTTTAAAGAAAAGGGGGATTAGAAGTTTGGAGAAAAAAAAAGCTGGAAGACAATTTCTACATACGTTGTTCTGAGCTGTTGTACTACTCTCCTTTCTAAATTAAGTTATCAAAAGAGTAAACTATATTTGTCAACATTTCCTCACTCTTTAACAGTAACCCCCTGTAATCTGGTTCTCACTTTAATCACTCTTCTAAAGCTGCTCTCAGATGTCATTAGTGACTTTCTCACTGCCAAATCCAATGCTGTCTCTCTCTCTCTCCACCTTTTGACATTGCTAGAATCTACTCCTTAACAGTCCCTTCCTTAACTCTTACAACATTCTTTATCTTTCTCTTGCCATTTTGGTGGTTTCTCTTTTACTTTTTTTTTTTTTTTCCTCCTTCTCCTTCCTCATCCTGTAAATGCAAGCATCTCTCACTCTCTATGGCCAGCTCTTCTCTGTACATAATCTTTTTCGGGAGCTCTTCTGCTCTCATGGCTCCCACTTACCCTACCCTGGCAGCAATTACCTCTTTATCTTTCTAGCCCTGACCTCTCTCTATACCCCAAAGCCTGTATTCCCAGCTTTGGATTCATCATCCCCCATACCCCCATCTTCAGTCTCCTCACCAGCCTGGCTCCTTCTCTGGGCTTCCCTATTCTCCTCATCATTAAACTTGAGACCCTAGTGTAATCTCTGAAGCCTCTTTTTTTTTTTGCTCAGCATGTCAAACTGGTCCCAACGGTTTTTGTTTTCTTTTGAGTTTTCTGCACTCTCTCAAATTCATCTGCTCTGTTCTGATTTTCATTGTTGCCATTGTGGTTTGGGCTCTCATCTCCTCATGCTCACATTACTGCAACTACTTTCTATCTAGTCTACTTGCTTACTATTTTTCCTTGATTCCAACCATCTTGCTCACTTCCAAAGGAATCTTCCTAAAATTCTACTATAGTTTTGTCTTCCCCTGACCAAGAACCTTCACTTGGCTCTCTATTGCTTACAGAAACTCGAGGCTGACTGGGAACAGGAACAGCCTAGCTTTGTGTTTACTCTGGTCTTCCCTCCAGCACAAACACTACCTGTGGTGTCTCACCTTCAGCCCATCCTCCCGACCCTGCCCAAATCAGTGTTCTTTGAAATGCACATTTACCCATCTTATGACTTTTAGAGGTGACACTAAGCTAAGATGTCAGGTTTCTTTGCTTTCACCCCCTGAATTTATATCAATTCATGGTAATACAGTTTACTGATGCTTAAGATGAACAAAAATGGGGGAAATAATTATTTTCTTTTGTAATAAATGCTAAGGATAGGAGATTGTGGATAAAAATCTCTCAAAACATAGATTGGGATAATAAAAGAAGTCCTAGATGATAAAAATGTTGAGACCCACTACCTGCTACTCTGGTCCAATCGAACAGTTTACTGCTATTTCTCAAGCAGATTTGTATTTTCATGCCCACCCCCACCCTCCCGCCCATGACTTGGCTTATGCAGTTCCCACAGCCTTGAATGCCCTCCCAATAATCCCCAGTACCTGAACCCTCTGCATCTCTTAAAGGCCCTTACCGGGGGCCACCTCTTTCTTCCCACATCTGCCGGGACCTCCTTGAATAGAGTGAACTTTCCATTTCTGCATCCTCCAGCACCTCTGGTTATCGGTCTATCCTGACCAACCCGCTGCAGTCAGGGATGTGCAGTTCGCACCCAGCACAGCACCTGGGATTTAGGAAACAGTGAACAGGACAAAAGTGCTGAAGGATACTGCTCTGTACCGCCCCCCCCCCCCAGCCCAGCCCCAGTCTGCCCCAATCTCTCTCACAGGCGCAACCTGTAGAGCCACAGGGCGGGTCCTGAATTGGTTTCCACCTCATTAACTCGGCCCCAGTCCCGCCCCGTCGGCTCCCGCTCTCCTTCCTCAACTCCGACAGGACTGCCTGCTTTTTCTATCTTCTTTCTTCTTCTGTTATCTTGCCAGCTCAGCTTCTATCGCGTCGCGTATCTTCTCTTTATCTTTCTTTCTCTCTGAGTCTGTCTGGGTCTGTCTTTGGGTGTTTCTCTCCGTCCTGCGTCTCCAGCCGTCTGGGTCTCCGCTTCCTTGCCCCCTGCGCCCCACCCCCTGCCCAACAGCCCTCCAATCCCAGCGGCTCGGGCCTGGCGCTCCACTCTGCCATTGGCTGGTCCAGAGCCCCCCCCCGCCCCCGCCCACCCGGCCCCCCGTGGGCCCCTCCATTCACACAAAGTTTGGCTCCAGAGCTGCGGAGGGAGGGGGTAGCCCGGCCCGGCCCAGCTCTGCCCCCGGCCAGCCCGACCCCGGCCTTGGCCCCCGGACCAACCCTTATCTGATCCCAGCTCCGGGTTTAAGAGTGCAGGTCTTGTCCTCAGTACAGCTCCGTTCCTGCTCGCCGGGTCAGTCCGTCGGTTCCGCTGCCCCGTGGCGCATCTGAGAGGTTACTCCACTGCGGACTTAAGGTAAGAACCTGGCCTTGATGAACCTGGCCCGGGTCATCGGGGGGACCCCACAGCCCGTTGGTCCCGACCTCAGCTTCCTCCTTCCCGTTCCTCGGCCTTCTGCCCCAAACGGACCCTCTTGGGAAAGCTCCCCACGAAGGAAACTTTATGCAGGCTGGTCACATCAGCCCTCTAAGGAAGGTGCTTTCCTGATGCCCCCTCCCACTGGGCAGACCTGTATTGCATCACAGCTTCTCCAGCTAATACAGTGATGACCTCTTGTTTCCATGCCTCCCACATAGAGGACCTCAGACTGCGCCCCCTCCTCCCAGGATCACCGGGTTATTCCCACTCCCATGCCCAGCCCCTTCTCCTCCCCACACTGCGACACACACTGGCAGTCACAGATCACTCGCTCACCCAGGGGAGAAAAACACAACGCACTGCTTTGAGCAGGGATGCACAGCAGCCTGGTGTACCTGAGACCCCTGCCCACACCAGTCGCTTTCCTCCCTTCTGACTTGGCTCCTACTTCAAGACCCTCCCTCTCTCTTAACTCCCTCCTCCAGCTGCTCCACACCAAGATCCCCAGGAGAAGAGGACTGGGAGTAAGAAGGGCAGATTAAGTTCTGTAATACTCACCCTCTAGAGGGAATTTTCCCCTTCGCATTCCATCCTTCTCACCAGGAACTAACCAACGGCACCTGTGTTTGGAAAGATGAAAGTTGGAACTCCCTGCATTGGGGGAAGGGAGCTGAACCCTGGATTGAGTGGAAGGACAAAACTGGTTGCAATTGGGAAAGGGGACTTTGGTATCTTGAGATTTCATTTCAGGGCAGGATGAGGCAAATGGGAACATGGGGGTGATGAAGCTGGGACAAATATGGGCCCTTAAAGCCTTTTGCTTATCAATACAAATTCTGACTGAAGAGTTTTGGCCCATCTGCCCTTGCTGTGGTGTTTGAGGTTTTTTTTTTTTTTTTTTTTCTCCATTGACATTCCTGAGAGACAGGGATACAATGATGGGATATGGCGCCTTTCTGTGAGGGGTGTCCCTGGGTGGGGTGCTGAGGAGGGCTGGAGTGGGTATCAAGATATAAGCGTCAGGAGATGGCCAGCAACCACCAGTGACTTCCTTTTAGTTTCCTCCTGACCTCTCCCTAATCTCCAAGGAGTTCCAAGCATGTTCCTGGCATGATGGTGGGCTCCCTCTCATGCCTTGGGGTCAGGCTTGTTAATTCTTCAGGGGTAGGTGGGGGACCAAGTCTAGAAGGACCAGGTGTACTGGCTCAGAGCTGGTTCTTTAGGGAAGAGGAAACAGGGGAAGAGGAGGAGGGAAGGCTTCATGCCAGGGAGAGGGGCCAGAGCTAGTCTGCAGAGGCAATAGGCATGGCCCGGTCAGTGCCAACTCCCTTTTCCCCACCCTCTAGTTCTTTGGTGGTGGTGGTGGTGAGGGAAGGAAGGAGGGGGTGTCGGGGGTGATCTGGGCCGATCCAGCCTCCCAAAGCCGTTGCCAACCTGGGTCCTGAAAGGAGCTGCTGTTTTCTGAGCCATCCCCCACCCCCCACCCCAGTGCCCCAGCAGCCAACTTGTCTCAGTGGATATCAAATGGCAATGACTCCAGTGAGTGTGTGTGTGTGTGTGTTGTGTGGGGTGGTGGTGGTGGCAGGGTAATGGTCCTATTCCTTCTGTAGCTCTAGTGCAGAATCCCACTGCTGCCCCCTACCCTAAGAGAAAAAAGAAATCCATCTCATAAGTCTATGGGGACAATGCTTGTGGGGTGGGAGATCAGTTATCTGCCCACTGGGATCCCTGCACCTCCCCTCTGTGCCCCAGTGAACCATGCCCCATGGCCTGCACCTGCACCACCGTACATGAGCTCATTTACAGCTCCAGCTTTATTTAGAGTATTGGCTTAGGCCAGAAGGAAAGGTACTAGCAGAAGACTCAGGGGATGGGCTCAGATGGAGTCCTTTTGAGTTATCCTGGGATTGGTGGGATGAGGGACTTAGGGCTTTGTGTATGTGTGTGTGTGGAGGGGGAGGCCTCATGCAGAAAGACTTACTTCTTCAAAGGAGACTCCTGGGCCTCCCGGCAAATATCTGGTTTCTGCACACCAGATGCACACACTGGTGGGAGATGGAGAGATGTTGGGCATTGCAGCCCCTAAACTTTTCTGCCAAAGTTTATTTAGGACTGAAGGAAAAACATCCACTCCCATTCCCCTGCCCCTTCCTGGCCTAGATTCTTCCCTTGCCTAACTGGTCAGTGCTACTGTCCAGACTGGGGCCAAGCTGTCCAGGGTAGAAGTGAGGCCATGGAAGGGGGCAGAGAGAAGGAGTAATCCAAGGCACATCATTGAGATAAGAGTGCAGAGAGAGTAGCAGGAAAAGGGATATTTGGGATCCAAATTTTTAGTAGCCAATGAAAGGTGGTTAGCTGGGGCAGCACCCAAGAATGAGAGCTTTTCAAGCTACCACATCACCTTGTGCTTTCTCTTCTTTACCTGAGCTGTCCTCCTTCTTCACAGGGAAAGTGGCCCCTCTTCATCCCATCCTCCCATTAGAACCTTGAAAGGGCAAAGAAAAAGGAATTCTGGGAAAAACCCTCCCGTGGGTGTCTGCCAGCCTGGAGCCTGGATTTGAGGTGGTGGGAGGTGGGGGGCTGGTTCTGGAATGTGGGAGAGAAGTAGTAACTGAACTGTGCTGCTTGGAGAAAGAAGTTGAGAAGCAGGGCTTGAGAGAAATGAATTAGGACTTCAGGCCTCTAGAAAATGTACAACATAGAGAGGTTGTATGTAATCATTCTACAGTTCTTCCAATGACAGAAGACCTGGGGAAATGGTTGAGAGTGCAGCTGGAATGACTTAGGTTCAATTTCAGGAAGTACTTTCCATCAAAGGAAAGACATCTGGAATGAAGATTGTGGAGGACAGACCATTTTCTGGACAAGAAAAAAAAAAAAAAAGTCCATCATTAAGGGGTCAGAGAGGAGCTGTGAAGCTCAGAGGTTTAAGGATTATTGTGACAACTGTTAAGTGGCCTCTCAGAAGGAGAGTGCAACTCCACATTGCTGTCCCAGGGTTCCTTTCTGCTCTGGGCTTCAGGGGAATTGCCCGAGAGGCAATTAGCATAATGGTTAAGATCATGGTCTTGTAGTCAGACTGCTTAGGTTTCAGTCTTGGTTTTAGCACTTAGTAGCTGTCTAAGTCTCTTCTTTACAATGGGCTTAATAACAGTTGTGAGGATTAAAAGAGTCAATATTTGTAAAGGACTTGGAATGGTGCTTAGTAGAAAACCAAAAACCAAACTTGTTGCCTCAAGTTGATTCTGAGTCATAGTGACTATAGGACAGAGTAGAACTGCCCCATAGGATTTCCTAGGCTGTAATCTTTACGGAAGCAGATTGCAATATCTTTCTTCCGTGGAGCAGCTGGTGAGTTTGAATGACCAACCTTTTGATTGGATCTGAGTGCTTAACCATTGCACCACCAGAACTTCTTAGCATGTAGGAAGTACAATTGAATTGCTTGCAATTAACATTTTTCCACTTCTCTGTTTCTCCTCTATCATCTTCCTTGTGGTTCCTGGGCCTTGTCCCAGCCCTGCATGATGGTTGTTTCTGAGGTTCTGTACTAGATTTCTATTCACCTTCTCTTTACTTTTGTGCAAAGCACCCTTCTAGAGTTTGGGAAGGTGAGAGAATTGTAAAGAAGTATAACGTGATTCTTGTCTTCATTCAGACAGGCTGGCCACCTCTTAAGGCTGGGTTTCCACACACATAGCCCCTTCTTTCTGTGAGTTTTGACTAAGCAGATGGCCTGTCTTCAACTCCAATTCAATAAATGTGAACTGAGCTGTCAAGAGGGAGCTCTGGTGGCATAGTGCCTAAGGCACTTGACTGCTAACCAGAAGGCTGGTGGTTCAAACCCATCAGACACTCCTCAGAAGGAAGATGGAGCAATCTACTTCTGTAGTGATACCACCTCGGAAACCCAAGAGGGGTTGCTATGAGTAGGATCTGACTCGACAGCAGTGAGTTTGTTTGTTTGTTTGTTTGTTTTGAGCTGTCAAGATTCTCAAAATAGTCTCTTTTCCCATTCTCAGCAACTTTCTCTTTTGGCCAAAGACATTAGCTTCTCTCTTCCCCGAAGGCCCTGCCTGTCTCTCTTCCTCTCCACATCCTTTCTGTTCCTCTCTCTGCCCAGGTTTTCCCCCACAACTTCTCTCAATCCTCCTCTTCCCCTGTGCTCCGACCAGCTGGGTGCCCATGGCAGCCTCCTTAATGGCCTCCCCATCCAGCCTCTCTTGCTCCTTCATTTCCTCCCTTTATTCTACCGTGGAATAATCACTGAATATGTTGTCATGAAACTTTAGCTTTACCTTGTCCTTTCTTTTCCCAGACAGACACCCATGTTGACATCAGACGAAAACTTCCCAATCAGTCTTCAAGATTCATTATGCTTTTGCCTTCATCCCATCTTCTGGAATGGTCCTATTCAAACCCTGTTCTGGGGAGCATATTCATCCAAAATCTCTGAGCCACACTCCTCCTCCCACTCTGGACCTCACATATGCCATTCCATGCCCCATCCGTTTTGCAAATCTCTATTCTCCTATTTTCCTATTTGCTCTGTCCTCTTGTAATGCCTCTTCCTCAGAATATATCTGCTTGTGCTTTCAATATATTGTAATCTGTCGTGTACCGTCTGCAAGAGTCCAGTGGACACTCATGAGAGAATGAAAGGAAAAGCAACTTGCTTGTCCCTTGTCTCTACTGCTTTGCCTGAGAGTCAGTGGTGACATTGGAAGGGACGTCTTGTCTTTCCCATTAGACTGGGGGCTCCTCTAGGGTGGACTTGTGCCCCTGTCAGATTGGAGACTCCCTGAACAAAGGCATGTCTTCTCCCCCTGGGCCCCTTGGCATCCAGCATAGAGCTTAGCTCCTAGGACACAGGGTGGGCTACTGGCCAGTGTGACTCAAACCTTTTGGATTGCTAATTTTGGGAGGGAAGACCCCTG